GTGAAAGACCAACACAAAGTGGTATACAATTGTGAAGAAAAAAAATGTTTAATGTAAATGTTTCAAATTAAAACAAATGTAAAAATAAATTTGATAAAGTAGAAATGAAAATAAAACCTTTTTAAATTTTTACAACCAGAAGCTGCTCTTCATATTAGTGACAAACAATAACAGTAACAACAGCTTTTTGACAAAATGTGTAAAAATAAATTACAAAAAATAATTTGATAAAGTGCAAATTAAAATATAGCTGTATCTGCAAAACTATTTGATAATGTTTTGAACTTTGTAAATATGGCATGGAAGAACCAGAGGCTGCTCTTCATATTAGTGACTAACTTTGCCATTTTTTGATGGATTACCTTCATTTTTGCTTCTACTTTTAATTTAAAATAAATTTCCATTCTCGGCAGGTTTTTAAGGTTCTTCTTCTACATTTAAAAAAGTTGTTAAACATCTGAGTGGCGCACTACCGCTACTACTGGTGAGAAAGTGTATTGCACCTTATTAAAAATCAATGTGGTCCCAAGGCCCTCTGCGGCCCAAAGTTAAAAACTGTTGTTTTTTGAGGCCCTCAAGGTGGCGCTCGCAGCCCACATTTGGGCCTCGACCCATAGGTTAAGAATCTCTGATCTAGGGCTCAGTATGGTCGAAAGGCAGCCGACTGGACGATGCGCGGTCACGTGGTTGTTTGGCATTTATTTTTGCACACTTTTCATAGCTGTTTGAGACACACCGTGCCGAGCTCCTGGGAAACCCCTCCCCCTGCAGCATACGTCTCTGCAGCGGGAATTTAAAATCTGCAGTGAGAGCAGTCAAACCCAGTCTCTGCCTGTCCACCAGCTCACCTGGAGAGCCTGGTTTTTAATCAGAAAGCTGTCATTTTACACATTTAGACAACTCAATCTGAGTTAACCTGCAGGATTCTGCAGCAGCTTTGTTTTATTAAAGAGCTGTGATTAAATGAAACACACCGCAGCTACTTGTGTAACTACATTTAAAGGGCCAATATTATGTGTTTCTCAGGCATATATTTAAGTACTATACCATAACAAAGTATCTATATCACTTTTAGTTAAAATGCTGTTTTGTGTTTAAATAGAAAATAAACTTATCTTCTCATCACTTCCTCTTCTAAACGCCTTGAAACTGGCCTCTGTCTCTTTAAGAACCACCTTCTGCTTCTGTCCCGCCCATTTTGGTGCAGGTGGGGCGGCGGCGGCTGCCATGATGCAGTTTACTTGACATCTGAAAATACATTTCCTCAAAGGTATTTTTAAACTGAAAAGAGCTTCACTGAGTGAGAACTAATGTTGAGAGCTCAGCAGACAGTTAGGTTTCACTTTCACCCGAGAGCCTGCAGGAGTCATGGACGGGATGTGTGGGGAGGGGGTGCGCTCTGCCATGAGGCAGCTCAGCTTAAAGACACGTCCCAGGGGTGTTTCTGGTACCAAAAGGTGTTTCTGGTCCCAAAAGTTGTTTCTGGTCCCAAAAGGTGTTTCTGGTACCAAAAGGTGTTTCTGGTCCCCACCTGTCGTTTTGCTCCTCAGCATGGCTTCATAAAAACACTGCAGGATTTCTCAAACATGATGAATGAGTCAGAGCAAGGCTTTGGACATGTTTTTAATGAGAGTATAACATGATATAAAACTCATAAAAGTTGATTTTACCTGATATTACCCCTTTAATATTAAAATAACATGGAGTCAGACTTGTGCACAACCTTTTATTTGACATTAGAATATTTCTGAGCTGTTTTAGCTGCTGTGGCTTCTCCAGTCTTCTGCACTTCATTCATCTCAGAAGGACCATGTCAGCAGAGACCCTAAACTGGTTATGACTCTTGTGTGAGGAGTGTGTTCCTGGTGTAAGTGTGCAAATGCACGAGCGTATTCGTGTGTGCGTGTTCAGAATTTGCACGTGTCAGCATTTTTCTCACCTTTTAACTTCACTGTTTTTACAGTTTGAACTTTTATTTTTTAATCTTCACAGATAGAAAAACAGATGTGATCTTTAGAGCTGCTGCCTCTTAAAACTGGAACACAAATATTGATCCTCCTCCAACCTGCAGTGTGTGTGTGTGTGTGTGTGTGTGTGTGTGTGTGTGTGTGTGTGTGTGTGTGTGTGTGTGTG